GGGGATGGAGGGAAGGGGAGTTATGGGGGAGATGGGTGGAGGGAGGGGATAGAGTAGCGGTAGTTGTGAAGTGGTTTGGGATGATTTTGAAGTGCAAGGGCACGTGATAGCGACGCTACTACCCTTACACTTTTTTACGTAGTTGCAATCGTCGTGGTTAAATCGGTACAGATTAGTGAGAATTGTGATTTGTTTTCGGGTTACCTGATTAACAGGATTGCTGTACTCCACGGGTAGTGGCGATTGTGTCTCGAGGGATATGTGTATGCTCTTGTATTTTCGACATTCTTATTTAGTCTTTTGCACTTTTGAACAGAGATTACAAACAGCTCTTAGAATTCTGGACTTGGATGTCGGAGTGACTGGGAATTTAAGCATGGTGGGCTTCGTCAGTTTCACTTATGAAATGCCCGGTCCTGTCACTTATTTGTGTATTGCTGGTTTGTTTGAGTTGGTTCTTGTTTGTTGCATTGAGTAATGGTTTCTCGGCAACCATCGGTGTTTTTCTCACGCCTGTATCTCATGTTTGTTATGTATATCTTGTAGTTGAAGGGTATTACTAAAGCGATTGTTATATCTTCGAGGTCCTGCTCATGTGATATTCGTTATGAAGTCTATCTTTATTGTTAAGCATGTGCTTCTTCTTTATTCGCGACAAAATCCTTGTAATTTAAAGTCATGTGAACTCTGATTTGGAGAGGGAATTGCGTGTTCGCCTAATTTCTGTAACGCCACGTGTTTGTTGAGCATAATAAGGAAATGGTGTTGGTTATTGTACCTATTCATTTCTTAGGGGAGTATCGCATCAATTCTTGCAAATCTCAAGTCGACTTATCACATGACTTCACTAAACCAACTGGCATATTTGGCACCTTCTTGGGATGCAAGGTCTGGAGTTAGTCTGAATTCATAGTAATGGTGAAACACTTTTTAATTGCCAATGTTTCCATTTAGTTGTTTCCATTTAAGCAATACGTTTGTTCTTCAAATGTCACCCCAAAGCCTTGGTTTACTTGCAATTGTGAGTTTTCCAACCATAGTGATATGTCCATTAATGTAAGCAGATGATTATAGACGTCCCACTATTAGTGGGGTTCTTTTCTAGTGGAGGTAGCACCTATTCTATGTCATATGGTGGATGATTTTAGACGTCCCTCTATTAGTGGGGCTCTATTCTAGTGGAGGTAGCACCTATTCTATGTCATATGGTGGATTGATTTAAGATTTAGGTGGGCCAATTGAATAATCCTCTATGTTTATCATAATCAGTGATAAAACCTTAAAATTTGTGATTTAAAAATAGTAATATATGTAATTTATATTTCCAAACCTATCCTTTGACAAAGCATTGACATTGAAAAATGTAAATTTGGTTTTTTTGTTAAATTATTTTTTAAAATATTTTATGAAAATAAATAATAAAGCACTCTTCACACTATTTCTACTGTCAATCTTTGGATTTTGTGTATTACACAATTTTTCTACATGTGAATTTTTTATACCTCTTAATTTTTAGTTACCAAATATATGAAATGAATGTTTAACAGTCTCTCAGCATTAGAACTATCTAAGTTGTTGATTTTTTAGTAAAATCAAATATAAAATTTGTATTCTCATATATATATGATGAAAATCCCTTTATACTTTAAATACTTCTTATTTATGTTAAGTTTTACATATAAGAAATAAACTATAAAGACACACATTCATATAAAATATCTTGATGCAAAACTTAAATTACCTACATTGTTTTAAACAAATAATTACTAATAAAAAATCCAACAAAAATTAGAGACCCATTAAAAAGCATGCTTTTATAGAAGTACAATCAACAACTTCATGATATTACAATACAATTCTACCAAGTTAACATCCAACTACAAATATTTTTGCTAGTTTTTATATAATTTTGTATTGCTAAAATTCCAAATAAATGTATGTAGTTTGGGCTTTGTAGCTTATTGTTCTTAAAATTACAAATATTTGTTGGTTGATTTTTGTTGAGATCATTAAATGTAGCCGACACTCTCCATAATATTTACTGTAGACTATAGTAATTACTGTAGCTACAGTATTTAGAGTCTAGTGGAGAAGTACTGTTCATCCTCTTATCTTCTCTCTTCTTGTGTACGAGACACAACCAGATCAATAGATTTTTGTGTGTGTGAAGCTCTCTCCTTAGAAACCCTTGTGTGTGTATGACTTACTACTACTCTTGTGTGTGTATGACTTACTATTACTCTTGTGTCTTTCTAAACATTCTCAACAAGTTATCAGCACTATTCTCTTCTACACACTATCACAATTTTTTTTGCTCTAGTCTTTGACTCTTCAAACCTGTTGCTACCCTTGCTTAGTGTCTGGGTCATGATCTTGTTCTTCTTGCTGGCCCCTCACACATTAGCTGCTTGCTTAGAGCACTTGTTCCACTCTTTGCCTTGCTTGCTCTGAATACTTGATCCAGCCCAACTCCACCCTCTGCTTGCTCCGTGCTCCTTGCTGCGCCCCGAACAGACGCCGAACAGACGCCGAACTGCCGTCGAACTGACGCCGAATCCGCCGCTGCCGCCGCTGTCCGCTGCCGCCGCTGTCCGCCGTCGCCGCTGTCCGCCGCTGCCGCCCACCATTGCCCGCCGTTGCCAGCCGCTGCTGTCCGCCGTTGCCCGCTGCTGCCCGCCGCTGCCACCCTGCCGCCCTACCGCTACCTGTTGCCGCCATTTTATTGCTGTTTTGCTGCCTTAATCTACAACTATCTCTCCTTAAAAATAATATATATATATATATATATATATTTTAGTTTTTTCAAGTTCAAGTTTATCATTTTATTTGACTTTATATTTTAAGGTACGTTTTACTCAACTTTTCTACTTGATCTTGTATTTTCTTTACAGATTTATTTATAATGAGTGCTTCAACATCTTCAACTGCTTCTACCATGGTTCCTACTATTACCAGTGCATCCCAACATTTTCAAGCTCTTTTATTTCTACCATTGACTGTGGATGAAAATAATTATCTATTATGGGCAAAAATCTCAAAAGCAAATTTATTTGTAGAACAACTCTCAGATGCCATTATGTTTGAAGAATCTCCTACAACAAGTATTTCTATATCTCCTGCTATTCGTTGGAAAGCACTTCTTCTCCTTCGTTGTCATCTTGTACCCGCATTACAACATCAATATTTGGAAATGGAAGACCCTGCAGAACTTTGGAAGAATCTTAAATCTAGGTTTGATCATCAAAAGACTATTTTTCTTCCACGTGCACGTCATAATTGGACACATTTATGTGTCTTGGATTTTCCAAATTTAAATGCTTTCAATAGTGAAATGTATAGTATTAGTATTGTCTCACAATTATGATTATGTGGACAAAGCATTTCTGAAGAAGAAATGATTGAAAAAACTCTCTCTACATTTCCTCCTGCATCTGCTATGCTTGCACAACAATATAAGAACATGAAATTTCAGAGTCATTCTGATCTCATGTCCTATCTACTTCTTGCAGAGAAGCAAAATGAGCTACACTTGCGCAATGCGGAAGCTTGTCTTATTAGAACTACAATTCCTGAATCTCATGCACTTAATATTTCAAAGTCTAAGAAGAAATTATATAAACATAGGAAACGTGTTCATAAGTATCAAGGTAATCATAGTCAAGACCATTTCTATCCATATGGAAAGAATAAACGTTCTACTATTAATTATAGTAGAAAACAAAAATTAGAGATGCATTCTTGCTATAAGTGTGGAATGATTGGACATTTAGCACATGCGTGCCGTACTTCAGAATATTTTATTAAAATGTTCCAAGAAAATAAGAAATTACGAGCTGAGGCTCGTGAAGTTCATACCATAGATGCATCCATGGATTCAATTGGTGTTGATGACTTAGAGGCTTATATGACTGATAGAACCTCTAATGATGAATCAAATGATGCGCTCATTGATTCTGCAACAACACATACTATCTTGCGAGATAGACGATTTTTTATTAAAAAATCTTCAACTTGGTAAACTAAAAATATGATGACCATGGCTGGAGCAAATGCGTTTTGTTTCCAAGAGGGCACAACGATGGTAAAATTACCTACGGGTTCCATCATAAAACATAAACATGCGATGTTTTTACCCTCAACACCTCAGAGTCTGATCAGCTACCGAGATGTGCGTATTAATGGTTATCACCTCTCGACCGCCACTTTAAATAGAAAAGAAGTTTTGGTTCTTGCAAAGAACCATAAAGTTGTTGAAAAAGCTTTTGCTACAGAAAATGGTTTATACCGAATTGTGATTCGACCTCCCATTATATTTAATTTTGCATCATCTATCTCAGAGAGTCGTGTTTCTCTCTGGCATGGACGATTGGGACATCTAGGATTCACATTATTTAGAAAGATCATTCCATGTATAACTAGGCATAATTTAAAGCCTGCAGATGTAGACTCCTTGGAATTATGTTGTGCATGCGTGCAAGTTAAAATGATTACTCGGCCTTCAATTTGGAAACTTCCACAAGAATTACCACCAATGCTTAAAAGATTGCATGGTGATATTTGTGGTCCTATTAATTCAACATCAGGACCATTTTGTTATTTTTTGATCCTTGTTGATGCATCAGGTAAACAATCACATGTTTCATTATTATCAACTCAAAAGATGGTGTTTGCTAATCTTATATCTATGCTTATTTGCTTTCGGGCATATTTTCTTGATTATCCTATAAAAAAATTGCATATGGATAATGCAAAAGAATTTGCATCAAAGTCTTTTGAAGACTATTGTACTACAATAGGAATCGAATTGTCATATTGTGTTTCATATGAACATGCTCAAAATGGACTTGCAGAGTCATTTATAAAGCATATACAACTCATTACGTGGCCACTCCTCCTTCACGCAAATCTATCTACATCTATGTGGGGTCATGTAGTTTTATATGCTGCAGCATTAATATGCCTCCACCCTTCTTCTTTTGAAACTATTTCACCACATGAGCTCATTTTGGGTCGTGTTCCAAATGTATCTCACTTACGAATATTTGGTTGCCGTGCTTGGATTCCACTACCAGAACCTCAATGACGTACCATTGGAGCTCATCGACAAGAAGACATATATGTTGATTTTGATTCACCAAGTATTATTCGTATTGTTGATCCATCAAGTGGCACATTATTACGTGCACGTTTGCAAAATTACCGTTTTGAAGAAACTATATTCCCATCTCTTCAAGGAGGAATATCCAATCAACAAAGAAATAAAGTACTTATATTTGAAGTACCAAAAACATTTACAATGAATCCCGATCCTAGGACATCTTTGGCAGAAACTGAAGTTGCTAAGATTTTACATTTAAAACGAATCACGGATGAAACACCTGATGGTTTAATGATGCACCTAGAATTACAAGAGTTCTTATTAATGAGGCTCAGAATGCACCTGCTCAGATTGCAGTGCCATTGACTACAATACCTCAAGTGATAACAACAACAACTAAAAGAACTTGTGGACAAGATAAGCAACCACGTAAGAAGAAAGTAATAAAATTAACTAATCCTGGTATTATCTCTCAAGAAATTGCCACTCATCTTGCAGGACTACCAATTCATGATGATATATCCATGCATAATGTACCTTCAATTCCTATGAAAAACAAACTTGGAACTGGAAGGAATAAGAACAAATTGAGTAAAGAATTATCTATTCTGTATTGTGCTACAAATGATATTTGGGACAAACCATCTATTACTATAGATGAATCATTTGCATATATGATTATAGAAGCCCTTTTCTTGTGAGGAAGATGATCGTGAACCTCAAACCATCAAAGAGGTGATGCGTCGCTCTGATTGGTCAAAATGGAAAACTGCTATTGAGAAAGAGTATGCCTCTTTGCGTAAGAGGAAAGTCTTTGGTCCAATTGTAGACACTCTTACATCTCGCCCTGTGGGATATAAAATGGTACTAATACGCAAGCAAGATGCTTAAGGCCAAATAACCCGCTATAAAGCTCGTCTAGTTGCTCAAGGATTTTCTCAACGATTTGGCATTGATTATGAATCCACATATTCTCCAGTCATGGATTCAACTACATTTTGATATATTATTGGAATGACAGTTCATGCCACCCTTGAGATGCATCTGATGGATGTAGTTACTGCATATCTATATGGTTCTCTTGAATGCAAATATTTATATGAAAGTTCCATCTGGCTTAGAAACAGGAACTCCAAATCGACCCGCTCTAGGAAAATATTGTGGTATTAAATTATGTAAGGCCTTGTATGGTTTAAAACAATCTAGACAAATGTGGTATCAACGTCTTCGAGATTATTTAATTAAAAATAATTTTATAAGTGATCTACTAATCCCTTGTTTATTTATCAAACGAGATAAAATTGGTTTTGTGATCATCGATGTATATGTTGATGATCTTAACCTAGTGGGCACTACATCTGCATGTGTTACAGCTACAAACCTACTTATACGTGAATTTGAGATGAAAATGCTAGGAAAAATAACTTTTTGCATTGGTCTTCAGATTATGCATCTTATAGATGGTAGCATTTTTCTCTACCAACTAACGTATATTAGACAAATTTTGTAAAGATTTAATATGAATGATGCTTATCCATTGTCCACACCAATGGTCGGACGTGGTCGTGATGGTCATGATCCATACCATCCATGCGAGGAGGAGGAGGAAATATTAGGAGACCAATATCCATACCTTGCAGCAGTTGGAACACTTTTGTATTTAGGTACATCTACAAGACCAGATATTGCATTTACAGTTAGTGTTCTTGCAAGACATAGTGCACGTCTAACACTATGACATTGGATTGGCATCAAACATTTATTACGTTATTTAAAAGGTACTGAAGACTTGGGATTATATTACCCAAAATCTGCAGATCCAAAATTGGTTGGATATTGTGATACAGGATATAAATCTGATATTGCAATAGCTAAATCTCAAACAGGATATGTATTTTTAAGACATGGAGCTGCAATATCATGAAAATCAGTGAAACAAACAATAACTGCAACTTCATCCAACCATGCAAAAATTATTGCCTTACATGAAGCATCTCGAGAATGTATTTGGTTGCGATCAATTGATAAATTCATTCAAACAACCTGTGGATTTTCATATGATGATTCTCCAACTATCTTGCATGAAGATAATAGTGCTTGTATTGCACAGATGCAAGTTGGTTTCATTAAAGGCAACAGAACAAAGCATATTGATCCAAAGTATTTTAGTTATACTCATGACTTGATTACTGATCAAGCACTTATAATTAAGAAAATTGAATCTACAAATAACCTTGCTGATCTCTTCACCAAAGCTCTCCCATTAAGCAATCATCGTCGACTTACTTATGATATTGGTATGCGGCGACTTGCTTTTCTTGAATAAGAAAGTTAAAGAGCTCTTTAAATAATTAAAGAAAATGATGTTGTACTCTTTTTCCTTCATCTATGGTTTTGTCCTTAAATAAAATAAGATTTTCCTAGATAAGGTTTTAATGAGGCAACAATTCTTGATCTTACAAGATCATAGAAAAGTATAGATCATAAATCTATATAAATTTTATATTATGTAAATATTATGATGAACGAGGAGGAGTGTTGAGATCATTAAATGTAGCCAACGCTCTCCATAATATTTACTGTAGACTATAGTAATTACTATAGCTACAGTATTTAGAGTCTAGTGGAGAAGTATTGTTCATCCTCTTATCTTCTCTCTTCTTATGTACGAGACACAACCAGATCAATAGATTTTTGTATGTGTAAAGCTCTCTCTCCTTAGAAACCCTTGTGTGTGTATGACTTACTACTACTCTTGTGTGTGTATGACTTACTATTATTCTTATGTCTTTCTAAACATTCTCAACAATTTTCAAAGACAAATTTATATAGCAATCGTCATTAGTATATTTAAATATTTTATTATTGATTGCACCTCAACTTGGTACATGGACCACTTTTGTAAATGAATACTTGTCTTTAATAAACTTTTTAAAAATATCTGTAAAAATCATTACTAGTTGTTGAACATTTTTAGAGATGCATTAAAACACCATATTATATCATCTACTTCAAATATGGTGTTTTAATGCATCTCTACCATGGCTTTGAAGATACAAGTATTTGGACTTTAGAAGATGATGGCATTTACGTGCAGAAGTGGGATCTTGAGAAGAAAGGGGAGATATCCATCTGAAGATAACCTTGACGAGAAGACGATCCCATGTTCTACGATCCCACGATCCATCTTCAGATTCTCGGTGACCAATTGTTTCAACCACACGGCAAAGACTGAACCTTGTACAGTGAATGAAGCAATTTACCTGGAGGGATTCGAGGAGAGCACTCAGAAGCTGAAGTGGGACTAAATAGTGACACGGTGATGGACTTAGATTGCAGGGGTGTAAGGTTTTGAGTTCCTGGGCACTGAACTACGGCGCAGGAGAGTGCAGATATGGAGCTCGCAACTGGCATTCAACTGGGTTGGCTCGCCGGATTGGATTGACTGTGCCTGGAAGCTTGGAGAGCAGCGTCCGTAGGTCAATGATAGGTCGTGATACACCAACATGCCATCATGGGACATGGGGCAAAGATGGGGCTCTGCACTCAATAACGCCAATTCTAATGGTATGGAATTGAGTCCTTGTTACAACCCGTGGAAAATATTTTAAGCAATAGCCAATGCTTTCCGCCTAGGGCAGGAAAAAGATTTTAAAACTAGTATGTTGGTACCCGAGTTGCTTAAGTCTAGTGTCATGAATCTGGACCAGATTCCTGCGCGAGGTCCTAAATGTTTTCATGAAGCACTACAAGGATCAGGGAAGTATTCTATTACATGTAACATACGATTACTTGTAATGTAAGGTTTCAAATGAAATGATCGAAATAAAAAACACTGAGCCCAATGCTATCTATGTGAAGTAAAAGAAAGACTCATCTGGCGTGATTGGGTAGGGAGAGAATGCTACAAAAAATAACAAACTACAAAAATTTACTTAAATTAAAGCGCTGCAAGCATGGAATAACAGATATCCACTTGTGCAGGTCAATGCATTCTGAGCTTGTAGTTCTTGCATTCAATATATCTCTTTACAGCAGCGTTGTAATGAAGACATTTGTTAAGAGCTACAGCCTGACCTAACAATTAAACTATGAGCCGTTGAAGTCATATTTGCACCTAAATGAGCATTTGATACCAGCCCCAGCTAAACTAAGCAAGGCCTTGTCGCAGTGTTCACCCTTGCAGTGCCTTGATGGAGTTTCCGAATATGGCAAGATTACCTCGAAAGTGTACCATCCAAAACTTTGTGGTGTGTAGGAGGTGACTGCCAGCTCCCTCAATCCATTTAGCATGCACAGCCTCCTGCTTTACCCTCCCCCTGTGGGTTAGTTGTTGGCTTAAGATTGACGTCAACGAGATCATCCTTGTGAGACGATAAAGCCTCCATTCCAGGCAACGCAGCAGCAATTTTTCGGAACAGTGCCTGGAATAATACAATGAACTGTTCAGCAACATTACATTGAGCAAGCAATATCTATCGTTGATCACTAAGAAAGACTGACTATTGAGCACAACTACGTATGCAACTACGCTCACTCACCAGAAGTTAATGATTCCTCGATATCTTAAAGCTCCCAGAAACATACTGTTCTGAGTAACCAGACTAGATCCACTGATCATACCTTTATGTTGAAACCTGCTTTCGAACTGGTCTCAATAAACATGACACCAACCTCTTTGGCTTTGGCGTCACCTTCTTCAATTGATACTTGGCTGAAAAAATGTCAAGAACAATTAAATAATAAACCAAATTGCACGTTACAATATTCCTCACCTCAACAGAAAGATGATTTGCAGATACAAGTAATCATTGGACCGAAAAAATAACCAACCACTACTAGGAAATAAAAATAGCAGAAGATACTTACCGCTTATCAACAAGATCAGTCTTGTTGCCAACAAGCATTATGATAACATCACTTCCACGCTCTGTTAGGACCTCTTCAATCCATCGAGATGTATTTAGAAATGACTGCCGATCTGTTCGCAGTATGCAAAATTAGAAACAACATCTGCTGAGCCGTGCTTCAGAGTTGGTGTAACATGTAAAATTCACTCTGCAGTCTCCTCATCCTCACGTTCCCGTGTTACATCAGTGAAACAATTAATGTACTAATACTGAGCCAACCGTACAACTGTGTGAGGAACAAAATTCCTCTTTTGTCACAAAAATGTACTTACTTGAAACATCGTACACAACCACTGCCACGGACGAATCCCGAATGTAACTAGGAATTAAACTCCTGAACCTCTCCTGTCCAGCGGTATCCCTGCATTTCATAACAGCCCCAAATTATGATGGATTCAGTATTTCGTTTCTACAACAAGACGTCAAGAAACAAGAAGACAACCTCCATCTCGTTATCTAATGTAGCGACTTCCTCAGGGACGAAAAAGTGAAGCATATCCGGCCCTACAAGTGCAGAGAAAAGTAAATATCATTGGCGAGCTGAAACTTAGTCTGAACGTACTTACCAGAGCTGTAGTCGCACGGTACGATCCTCAAGGTACATGGTCTTAGAGAGAAAATCAATACCGATGGTTGCCTGTCGAATCAAACAAGACATAATTAATTCTTCAAAATCAAGTCTAGTGTATTCTCAAAATTACCAATGTATATTTTCTATATCTCTTTGAAAGATGGTGAATGAAATCACACAGAAGCTGCAGGGATTACGAGTAAAAGTCTATTATACACAGATGAGAGGATAAAAAAGAATCTCACTTGGTACGTATTGTCGAACTTGTCATACATAAATCGCGTGATGATACTCGTTTTGCCTGGAAATCACACGACTTTTGAGTCAGCTGATCGAAATACATGTTGCCATTGTTAAAAAGAATTTTTTAAAATTGAAGTGTTAGAGAAAAGCCATAGCATTGAACTTACCTACTGACTGATCCCCCAAAAACACTAGCTTGTACTTAGCGAGTGGTGAAACTGTAGCGGGTTGCCCCATTCCCATGGAACCCATCCTGTCTGTCTTGCTCTATCAGATCCTTTCGAATGAATCACACCTGTCTCAGTCTATCTAACCTCGCAACTTTCTCTCTTTGAATTCTAAAAAATTCTACCCGTAGCTTCTCTTCCTTACATTCTCAAACTAGAATTCACGTCTCAAGATGAAGCCAATAACTCTTGGAATGTAGATGCTCTGCCTCGTAGGGTTCGGATTCTTAGAAAGAAACACGATATCTACTCGGCCCGTCTGCTCTATTTAGTCCAAGAAAACCCTAATCCCAAAAATCTCGACCCAAGTTTCCCCAAAACAATAAAAACTGAACTTGACATCGAAAAGCCACTTCAACCCGCTTTCTCAAACCTCAAAATGCCACAAACCCACCCAAGAAAGTCCTCCCTATCAGAGTGCCAACAAACACCTTGATCCTCAATCCACCCGAAACGAAAACCAAGAATCAAGCCCCGAGAACTGAGCCTCCCTCTTCCAAAAGAGATAGAGCCTTGAAACTAAGTACTAACACCATTGAGTGGAATCAACCCCAAAAAACACAACAAGGCTCAACGAGGTCAATGCTAAGCTCGAGGCTTGATACAGGCACCGCGTCCCCAGCCTGATTGCAATAATATCCCTCAATCAGAAGCTCCCGGCCTTCGCAAGCACTCTAGCATTCGACATGCGACCAGCATTGACAATCATGCAAGGCTTCCAAGGATCTTTAACAAACTCATTCAATTCCGAATCTTCTGCTGGAAGTCTACTGCGTCGTCGTCTTCGATCAAGAACGACAGACTCGGTGCCTTGGAAACAGGTCCGGTTCTATACCCGGTACAGACATGGTATCAAACCACCGCACTTGACTTGAATCACACCACGTATCACGACCCACCACGTGGGCCATAAAATCTCCGCCTCTTGCTGTTCATGCAGCAGGTCAACGTGGTAAGGGCAGGTTATCAGTGGGTATCATGTACTTTCCGCTGTTTGATTGATCTGGTCAGACTGAGACCGTCGACGACAGTTGGCACAATTTGCGGTGCCTGATTGACGTGCAGTTCTATATCCAGGCTGCATTAGAGCTCTTAAAGCTACGCCTGCTAGACCGTGTGAAAGAGGTTTTTGTTTGTTGGATTAATGAAGCAATGGCAGTATTTTCCAAGCCTTGGAGTAGAAAATAACCATACTATGTGACTGTGCAGCTTGGAAGTTCATTGTAAGGAGCTAGATTCCACACTACGTATCAAAATAGTGTAAGAATTGTGTGTTGAAACTGATTAGTGATAGTTTTTTAAAAAAATCTATTGAGATTGATGAAGAAAGAGTTCGTCTGAATCCTTTGTTGTCCCTACTTGAACGGTAGTTCATGACAATGCACAACAATGACAGACGATTGATGCATCTCTATTCTTTAAGTCCTTAAATTTTTATTGCAACATATAAAATTAGTATTTTAGTCTTAGTTATTTGTAAAACACATTATTCATGCCTTTGTTTATGCTTGAAAATAGATTAAAGAGACACTACACTATGATTTTTTTTGATTGTTTAATAGCTCTATTGGAACACATACATACAAAAATACACATGATGTTTATTCTTAAGTAGAGTTAAAGGATTGTTTTAGAACATTGTAGAAGAATAACTTTGGTCTAAAAAAAATCTAAGAGAAGTTTAAAAAATTGAGTTTTATTTTTTAAAATCTAAAAATCTTTTCAATATTTGGATTTAAATATGCTATGAGATTCCACTAACCAAAGTGTAGCATGTTTTCTTGCTTGTTACTAAAAAATCTAGTCTCTCTTAACTTGAGCTAAGGTTTTGTAGGCCCTTCATTATTTTGCTAAATTATTTTTGGCATTCTTAACTTGTTTTGTAAATAAGAAAAAAAATACAATAACATTATGATTTTTAAAAATTAATGGAGACATAAAGTTTTTTGCTGTGTTTAATTAAATTTAATATAAAAAAAATGATATTAACTTTGTATCCATATTTGCCTTTAAATCTCATTATTTATTTTTTTATTTAGATAATAGCTGTGACATTAAATAATAATATCATAAAACTAACAAATCTTTATTTTTTAAGTATTAAAAGCTCTATGATAATATATAATTATAATAATAATAATAATTTTTTCTTCAATTATTTATAAATTAAATTATTTATTATGTCATTTATTCTTGATAACTATAATATGATATTTCACCACTTTGTTTAATTTTTAAAAAATGATGTAAGAGATACTATATTATTATTTTTTTTAATTCTTTGCAAACTTAATTTTAATATATATATGTGCACTAGCAAAAATCCGTGCCATTAGGTATAGACAATACTCTTATTCTCAAGTTTCTGGCATTTATTTCTTTATGGCCTATAGAAAGATTTTTTACATATTTTTTTATATTAATTTTTTTTATGATATATATAGAGAGTTGTTAAAGCTACACTCTTAAATTATTAATGCCACACCTCCCTTTCCATCTCATGATTAATTTGATTTATTCATTGTTCCTTATTTTTTGTGTCAATTTTTAACCTTCTTATGTATTATAGATATATGTATTTACTTAGATGAAAGGAATTAAATAATAATAAGTAGAAGTAAGTAGATTTGATAATATTTTTTGAAAAAATTTCTTAAAAGCTTTATAGACATAGATTTGATCTTATATATATTTGTAGGTGATTAATAGATTAATAACTTTGTTAACTAGTTGATTATATGTTGCATATATAGGCAACTTGATTTGGAAGTAAAATACGTATTAGAGGTCCTATAAAACATTGCCATATCGCTCTTAATTAGATAGTAATATGGAAACAAGAGTAAAGCCTTCTTCATTCTTATCAACACCTTTCTTATTATTAGTCTTGTTTCAAGAGTCTCTAATATTCTTGTCTTTGGCAATAGCCATTTTAGTTTTAATACTATACTACATTTGAGTAAATATCTATTCTTTTTGGATGACACAAGAGTATATTTATGTTTTTATTTTTTATAATTTATGTCCTTGATAATTTAATAAAAGTACTAATTCATTATTTTTATTTTGATTTAGAAGTGAATAGATTATTCTACAATTTTTTGTGCTTTAGAGTTTTATATTGTCATATTGCTGTCACGGACATACTCATGTAAGCTAGTAATTATATATACAAATAAATAGAAGTAAGTAAAAATAGGTAAAAGTAAGTTAATTCTATAGTATTTAATATAGAAGCTTCTTAGAAGCTTCATAGACGCTGCTTTGACTTCATAGGTGTCTTTAATTAACTTTTTGGATTAGAAACATGGTCAACAAGTTGGCCATGTGCCACACATATTGTTAGCTTGAAGATCAAGCTAACTATGTGGCCCACACGTAGAAAAACTTGCCTTGTAAGTCAAGGCATGTGTCTTACAAAGTCAACACATATTGGAGGTCCTATAGAACGTCGCCACGTAGCTCCTAGTTAGATAGTATATATAGAGATAAGAGTGAAGCCTTCTTCACTCTTGTCAACTCCTTTCTTGCTTCCAGTCTAGTTTCAAGGGTCTCTAGTTTTCTTATCTTTTGGCAATAGCCATTCCAGTTTCTCTTTCAATATACATACTTGTTTATTTATATTTTGTTAGCTTTCTTTGAGTGAAGGCTCACTTGTCTGAATTTTTTTTTCATCAAGTTCTTGTCCTTGACAGATTGACAAGAGTACACCTATAATATCAGAGCTTTGTCTAATCTTGATTAAGAGTGGATTACCGCTTTTTCTTGATAAGATATAAGCATATTAGAAGTTACGGATTACCCTCTTCTAAATTGATATTGTCCTTAGTATTTTCTTTGTTTTCAAGTCCTCTCTTCTATTTGTCTTGAGCGATATTAGACATCTTCTCTTTTTCAAGTGTTATCATGGCAGAACTTATTGAAATGAAGAATGCAATGGCACAAATGGAAGAGCAATTGAGGGAGTTAATGCTTGCAATGCATCAACTCAATTTACCACCACAAGGAGCAACAAGATTGACAAGAAGTGAAGATATAGAAATGGTTGGAGCTACTTCAACATCTGCACCAAATCATGTCCTTTCTCCTATGGTAGAACGTCCTTCCAGTGTTAGAGAACCAAGAATTGTCCTACTCGAGAAGTTTGATAGAACCAAATCTAAGTTTCGAGGATTTATCAATCAAGTGCAATTTGTGATTGAACTTCAACCCCAAAGCTATCCAACTCCAGGATTGCAAGTTAGATTCATTGGTATACTTCTTTCAGGTTCAGGACTATCGTGGTTTTCATCTTTTTTTGAACGATGAGATCCAATATTGGATAATCTAGAGGCTTTTCTAGTGGAGTTTCGATCCATGTATGGAGAACATGATGCAATTCATGTTGCAACGAATAAGATCCATATTTTATGACAAGACAATCGATCAGTAACAATGTATGCTTCACAATTTTGACAACTTGCAACTGATATCAAGTGAGATGATGCTGCACTTATTAGCCAATTTCTCTATGGATTACAATATGAGGTAAAAAAATTAATGCTCAACTTACCTGATCCTCAAACATTGAGTCAAGTAATTGACTTTGTTGTGAAGTGCGACAATCATCTTTTTGAATTTCGATCTGAGAACCGTACAAGTGGACCTCAAGGTTACTATAATTCAATGGCAACATAAACAGCTCTTCAATACATACATTCGGAAGTAGAGGATATACAAATTGATGCAGTATGTTTTAAACCTCTTACTAAGCAAGAAAAGACTTATCGTCGTCAAGAAGGATTATATTTATATTGTGGAGAACCAAAGCACACTGCTCAACATTGTTCAAAGAAATGACGCAATTACAAAATGAGGAGTACGGCTGTAAAAGAAGACAATATGTCGAAAAATGAGTTTGTCAAGCTACAATAGGGACGGTGCGACTAGAACCTTGCACAACATCTAGTAAAGGTTCTATTCTCTCCTCAGAGCCCTCTCCTTGTTTTACATTAAATGTTGTTTTAAGACCTAAACATTACAAAGTCTCTGCCTTGTTAGATTCAGGAGCCTCAACGTGTTTTTTAGATGAAGAATTTACTAAAAGATATAGCATATCTTTAGTAAAGAAAACTAAACCTGTTCATGTAGAAGTCATAGATGGTCATCCATTGTCTTCTGGAGATATTACTCACGAAACCCTTCCTATAGAAGTAATAATCAATGGTCATAATAGTTTTGTAGTATTTAATATCATTAGATCTCCCTCTAATCTAGTCATTTTAGGTTTATCGTGGTTAGAAAAACACAACCCTTAAATAGATTGGATTTCTCAAACTCTTACTTTCTCTAAAAGTATAATTAATAGTGTAATTAATCAAGTAGAGAGTCATAAGTCCAATTCAATTAAACCCATATTTATAGGTGCAAAAGCTTTCTTGCATGCTGCTATGAAAGAATCACTATATATTATTTATGCCATACTTGTTTCTACTCGTGAAAAGACTTCAAGTGGCATTCTAAGCCAATATCAAGAATTTTAAGATATATTCGAAAAAAAGAATGCGGATACACTCTTGGAACATTGTCCCTACGATTGCTCAATTGACCTTCAAGAAGGAGTACAACCGCCATTCGGACCAAATTACAATTTATCACAGAATGAGTTGACTGAACTCAAGGAGTATATTGAAGAAAATCTAGCCAAGAATTTTATATGCCATTCTAAATCTCCGGCAGGAGCTCCAATTCTATTTGTGAAGAAAAAAGATGGATCATTGCGGATGTGTGTTGATTATCGAGGAGTCAACAAGATTACCA